CAAAGTAGAAGCTACCAAGGATCATTAGTTTTTGTATAGAAGCCCAGAGCACCCTCGTACCTCATCCCGATCCAGAGGGTAACGATGACAAGTCCAATCATTCCGTACAAAATTCTAGGAAGATGTCCGATGATAATGGCACGGGTCCAATATCGCTTCCACCATTCACCGCTGTACTTGCGAACAGGTCGAGGACGTTGGGGCTCTTCAGAAGGGTAGGCATCGACTTCTGTACGGTCCGAAGGAGTAGATGGGAAAAGCCCGATAGGGAGTTTCTCGTCGTCGTGAAAGTTGGCTCGGGCTGGGCTTTGCATTTCGATGTCATGAGGGCTCTCCTGAAATTCGGCAGAGGGGGAATTAACGAGTGCTGTCAGAATTATGTTAGCACTAGATGTTGATATCAGTCGATCAATGGAATTTTCTACTTACTAGATGGTTTAGACATGACGCCAACGATAGAGGGAAAAAAAAAAGAGTGGGAGGGGGAGCCTTGAAAGAGGTCAAAATTTGGCGTGCTTGCTCGAGAGAGCCATATATGACTATAAAATTGAGACCGAGACTTTCTTCGGGGCGGAGTGGTTTTTGGTGTCACTCGCTCGACTTTGACTTTAGTGTATAGTACAGGCACCGTGTGCCTATTCAAGGGCTACGCCTCTGGGCTTCTATACAAAAACTAATGATCCTTGGTAGCTTCTACTTTGCACAAAATGAGATCGCTTGGAACAAGGACCAGCAAATCAAATTTACCGACCACATGAGCAACACTGGCAAGAACGAATCAGCTGTGAGTATATTTGGTCCTTGTTCACGTCAAGGCTTTTAGCTGACGAGGTATTAGATTGCCCTGGAAGGTGCCCTCAAGAACTTCGACCCAACAGCTCGATCTTTAAGTAAGCAAATATCTCCAGCGAATAGGTTCAGATCCTGATACTCACATCACTATTTCCAGATGTTGAATGGAGCGGCCTTTGGAAAGATTATGGAGTCGATATGGAGCCAGTTCCTCTTACTAACGGAACTCGTCCAAACACTGCATGGCCTTTCGAGATCTACAGAGATACGGCAACTACATTGTGGCTCGCAGGTGAAGGAAACCCTTATTATGACCCGAACTCGATACTATACAAGATTGCCAATGGGTCCACCCCCGCCATAGCCGTCATTGGATGGACGATAGATGACTCCTTCAATACAGAAATCTCTTTCAAGCAGGCCTCGGACAATACGGATATCTTCAGACAACCACTCTTCGCATATCCCTATGACGAGGTGAGAAGGTGCTTTGTTTAGCTTACATTAGCTAACATAGCCCCTAGTGGAAAGGAGCCATTTCGTTCACTATCAATGATCCGTGGCAAGATGTGGAGCAGAGGGCCAACAAAAGTAGTGTCTTTGCCCCATCAGGTGCCAGATTGACGGATCACACCTGTAAGCTGACCTATAAGTCGTTATCTGCGATGCTGACTCTAATTTTCTACCAAGTGAACTGGAGATTTGACCTCAATGTGACAAAGGATTGTCCTTACATTACAGATGCTGTCCTCACACAGTATTTTGGCATGACCTTGAACGATGATTTCGACAACAGCACCTTAGCCTTTGGAACAGTACCATGCCAACTCGTTCGTGATATCCTACCTATTCACCCCTTTAATTTCT